TGCTAACCAGAAGGCTAGTGGTTCAAATCCACCAGCCACTCCTCGGAAGGAAGGTTGGGCAATCTACTTCCATAGTGATACCGTCTCAGAAACCCAAAGAGGGGTCGCTATGAATCGGGTCTGACTCCACAGCACATAACAACAACAACACAAGTTAAAAACAGCACAGATTTTAATCTCTCTCCCATTCCTCACTTTTGGCTGCCATGTCCTCTCCCCAGAAGTGACCATGGCTAATCTGTGTTCTAGGTATCCTTCCTGAGCTGGTCTATGCACGTACAAGTGGTGTGTGAGTATCTTAAGAGTTATTTTTAACTGTTATCTTTTCCTGATTACAAACATAATTCCTTTCTACTGGAAAATTCAATCAGAAATAAGTAATGCAGGAAAAAAGTCTCCTGGTAGTGCACCCCCACCCTGCTCTCCACCCCTGTCCAACGGCTGTGGGCCATTCTTGGGGAGTCTTGTCATTGAGAGGCTTTAAGCAGAGGTCTCACAGTGAGGGGCTGTGTTTCAGAGAGAGAACACAGGTGTTGGGTGGAGATTAGAGGCCTGGGATTGGATTTGGAGGCTCCTGCAGCTGTCTGGGCAAGAGACCAGCATCTGGACCAGAGCTTAAAGCAGAGGTCTACTGAAGAGGGAATGGACAGGAGAGATTTTTACGAGAGAGAACTTCCCAGGCCTCTACCTGACTCACAGGATTCTGCCGAAGAAGGGAAAAGAAATGGAAGAATTGACAGTCCCTTTAAGGAAGCCAGAGAGCAGCGCAGAGGAGGAAACAAGCAGACAGCAGCAGTACAAGGCAGTGAGTAACAGGCCCTAGTGTGGCCACAGAAGGCTGGCCACACCAGAGACACGGTGAGGGTGTGGCCCCATGGTCCGGACTCAGACTCTCAGGACACAGGGCTTCTAGTGCACTCAGGGCAGTAAGGGCAGGACAGCCTCCCTCTGACGAGTTATGCCTCCCAGAAACTGGTAAGCTCATCCTTCAAGTACTGATTTGCCTCCAGAGGTCACTGCAGCCAGATTCTACCATGGTTATAGAGCAGTACTGCCCAAGAGAAACAGAGTAGGAGCCACTCACAGAATTTTATATTTTCTAGGAGCCCCATCTGAAAAAGTAAAAAGAAACAAATGGAATTAATTTTAGTAACATACTTTCTCTCACCAAAAGTATCCAAAATATTATTACTTCAACATGTAATATTAATGAAATATTTACATTTCTTTTTCATGAAAT